AAATATGAATCAGAAAGGAAAATAACAACATTGCTATAACTAGTATTTGTCGAAGTATTCAGAAACGTTTGGTCTCCAGGACAGACCATCCAGATATATGTTCTCATTGATGTTGAGATGTTGCATTTCAGATTTAGACGACTCTGCCAATTAAATACAAAGATCCTTTTTCCGAAAAGTCATCTCTAACGAGGGAAAAGATGGCAGAAGTATAAGCTGGAGCGGGAGGGAAGTGGAAACTTCCCCTTTTCTACCAAGACAGCCGTAACGGCACAATTTGAACAAAAGTGAAATGTGCTCGACTTAGAATTGTTTGTTTAGCGACCGCTTGAAGTCACAATACTGGAAAAGTGACTTATAACTGGTCCTCACACTTAACAACCATTGCAGCATTCCCCACGGTCATGTGATCCAAATTTGGGCACTTGGCAACTGACTCGTACCTAGGACGGTTGCATTGTCCTGAGGTTGTGTGGTTCCTCTTTTTGTAACTTTCTATAACCTTCAGTCACTGTCTGATAAGCAAAACTGATAGGGAAGCCAGATTCACTTAACAACCGGGATGTCAACGCTGCTTAACATCGGATGTTTTGCATTGGCAACAGATGAAAATGTAGCCATCTTTGTCCCTTTCGCTTTTAGAGTTAGATGATGCTGGGGGGGGGGATGTGAATGAGACTCTAGCTCAGGCGTAGGCAACCTTGGTTCTTTTATGACTGGTGGACTTCAACTCCCAGAATTCCTGAGCCAGCCATGCTGAGGGGAAAGGGAGAGGTTTCCAAGCTGAGCCATGCTGGCTCAGGAATTCTGGGAGTTGAAGTCCACGAGTCATAAAAGAGCCAAGGTGGCCTACCCCTGGTGTAGACCATTTGAAGTTTAAAAAGTGACTTATACCCATGTTTATTTTCGGGGGGTGTCTTACGACAGCCCAGCCCAGCCGGTTCACTTCTTCTGGGGCATTCCGGCCTGTATTTTGCAATCAGGCCTTTCTGGAAGGCCTCTGCAGCCGAGTACCGAGCTATGGATTGAATCCATAGTTTGGTTCTCGGCTGCAGAGGCCTTCAGGAAAGGCCTGTGACTGAGAAATACAGGCCTGGCTGCAAAAGACGCCTCAGAAGAAGTGGGCCGGTGAGGGGAGGCCTGGCTGTGAGGTAAGTGGGTGCGCATAGGGTAGCTTTACACCCCACCCTAGCTTGATTTTTAAGTGTGTGCCTCACCTCAAAACTAGGGCTTATATTCGGATTAGGGCTTATATTAGGCCAGGGATAGGCAACCTCGGCTCTTTTATGATTCATGGACTTCAACTCCCAGAATTCCTGAGTCATGCTATGCTGACTCAGGAATTCTGGGAGTTGAAGTCCATGAGTCATAAAAGAGCCGAGGTTGCCTACCCCTGTATTAGGCCCACCCCCAAAAAATCAAGCTAGGGCTTATTTTCAGGGTAGGCCTTATTTTCGGGAAAACAAGGGTAGTTGTTTTCACACTTATGACTGTTGCAGCATTCCCCCATGGTCACATGATCAAAATCCAGATGCTTGGCAACTGACTCATATTTATGACGGTGGCCGTGTCCCGGGGTCATGTGATCCCCTTTTGCGATCAGATTCAACTTAACAACCAGGCTACTAATTTTAACAACCGCAGGGATTCACTTAACAATGGTGGCAAGAACGATTGTAAAATGGGGCAAAACTCACTTAGCAACTGTCTTACTGTGCAGTGGAAATTTTGGGATCAGTGGTGGTCATAGGTCAAGGACTACCTGCAAATGTTCCATTGCATGAAAATGACACTTGGGGACAATCCACTATTTTGTGCCCCAAATGCCGCCAATCCTCCTATAGTGCAGGTTTTCCTTCCTATCTACAAGTTAAAAAAAAAAAGATTTATTTTCCCCAGAAGATCAGAAGGCAGAGCGGTGGTGGGGGGAGAGAAGAATTAAATAAAATTAATTACAAGTATCTTGAATGAAAAGTTATTAGGAAGTCTCTCAACTGAGGACTAGACTGGGACATTCAAAAAAGCAACAGGAAAGCAGTGAAGTTAACCCTATACTGTTTGCCAGGAAACTACTAAGTTTCACCTGCAGGAATTTTGGTTTTACCCTACTCAGACAGTAGCACCAGTTTCTTTTTAATATACTGAGATTCTTCATATACTTAATAGAACGATTCCTGGCAAATTTCATTATACAGTGAGGGAAGAAATTATTTGATTCCCCTGCTGATTTTGTACGTTTGCTCACTGACAAAGAAATGATCAGTCTGTAATTTTAATGGTAGGTTTATTTTAACAGCGAGAGACAGAATAAGAACAAAAAAAAATCCAGAAGAACGCATTTCAAAAAAGGTATAAATTGGTTTGCATTTTAATGAGTGAAATAAGTATTTGACCCCTTCGCCAAACATGACTTAGTCCTTGGTGGCAAAAACCCTCGTTGGCAATCACAGAAGTCAGATGTTTCTTGTAGTTGGCCACCAGGTTTGCGCACATCTCAGGAGGGATTTTGTCCCACTCCTCTTTGCAGATCCAAGTCATTAAGGTTTCAAGGCTGATGTTTGGCAGCTCGAACCTTCAGTTCCCTCCACAGATTTTCCATGGGATTAAGGTCTGGAGACTGGTTAGGCCACTCCAGGACCTTAATAATAATAATAGTAAAGTTGGAAGGGACCTTGAAGGTCATCTAGTCCAACCCCCTGCTCAAGCAGGAAACCCTATACCATTTCGGACAAATGGCTGTCCAGTCTCTTCTTCAAAACTTCCAGTGTTGGAGCATTCACCGCTTCTGGAGGCAGGTTGTTCCACTGGTTAATTGTTCTAACTGTCAGGAAGTTTCTCCTTAGTTCTAGGTTGCTTCTCTCCATGATTAGTTTCCACCTGTTGCTTCTTGTCCTGCCTTCAGGCGCTTTGGAAAATAGCTTGACTCCCTCTTCTTTATGGCAGTCCCTGAGATATTGGAACCCTGCTATCATGTCCCCCCTCGTCCTTCTCTTCCTTAAACTAGACATACCCAATTCCAGCAGCCTTTCCTTATATGCTTTAGCCTCCAGTCCCCTAATCATCTTTGTTGCTCTTCTCTGTACTCTTTCTAGAGTCTCAATATCTTTTTTACATCGGGGTGACCAAAACTGGATGCAGTATTCCACGTGTGGCCTTACCAAGGCATTGTAAAGTGGTATTAACACTTCATGTGATCTTGATTCTATCCCTCTGTTAACGTGCTGCTTCTTGAGCCACTCCTTTGTTGCCTTGGCCATGTATTTTGGATCATTGCCATGCTGGAATACCCATCCACGACCCATTTTCAATGCCCTGGCTGAGGGAAGGAGGTTCTCACCCAAGATTTGATGGTACATAGCCCCATCCATTATCTCTTTGATGTGGTGAAGTTGTCCTGTTTCCTTAGCAAAAAAAACATCCCCATAGCATAATGTTTCCACTTCCATGTTTGACGGTGGGGGTGGTATTCTTGAGGTCATAGACAGCATTCCTCCTCCTCCGAACACGGTGAGTTGAGTTGATGCCAGAGAGCTCGATTTTGGTCTCATCTGAACATAACACTTTCACCCAATTCTCTGAATCGTTCAGGTGTTCACTGGCAAATTTGAGGTGGGCCTGTACATGTGCTTTCTTGAGCAGGCGGACCTTTTGGGCACTGCAAGATTTCAGTCCTTCTCTGCGTAGTGTGTTATCAATTGTCTTCTTAGTGTCTTATGTTCCCAGCTGCCTTGAGATCATTGACAAGATCCTCAGTGTAGTTCTGGGCTGAACTACACCGTTCTCATGATCATTGAAACTCCACAAGGTGAGATCTTGCATGGAGCCCCAGACCGAGGGAGATTGACAGTTATTTTGTTTCATCCATTTGCGAATAATCGCACCAACTGTTGTCACCTTCTTACCAAGCTACTTGGCGATAGTCTTGTGTAGGTCTACAATCTTGTCCCTGACATCCTTGGACATCTCTTTGGTCTTGGCCATGATGGAGAGTTTGGAATCTGATTGATCGATTGCTTCTGTGGACAGGTGTCTTTTATACAGGTAACAAGCTCGTTACCTGTATAAAAGACACCTGGGAGCCAGAAATCTTGCTGATCCAATACTTATTTCGCTCATTAAAATGCAGATCAATTTATAACTTGTTTGAAATGCTTTTTTCTGGATTTTTGTTGTTGTTATTCTGTCTCTCGCTGTTAAAATAAACCTACCATTAAAATTATAGATTGACCATTTCTTTGTCAGTGGGCAAACGTACAAAATCAGCAGGGGATCAAATAATTTTTTCCCTCACTGTAAATGTCAGCAATAGCAACTTCTGGAACCTAGACTTTTGGGATATGTGAGGATCCTAAAGCATCAACTATACATCATAACTGAACTCTATTCCCTAAAGAAATATTTCTCAAGCTTGGCAGCTTTATGGGTGGACTTCAGTTCCCAGGGAATTCTGGGAGTTGGTCCACTCAAAATTCCTAAGGTTGAGAAACAATGCTTTGTTCCATTCCACTCCATTCCATGGCTTTAACTGATAACCGGATAGATCCTGACTGAACGTTAGAAGGGTAACAGCCATTTTGTGATGAGAGTATTATCAGAGAGTTGTTAGGCTGGTTTTCACTGGTTGCTCAAGACGATTTCCTGAGAGTGGTTTAATCTGGATTCTTGCACTGAGCAAGGGGCTGGATTGGATGACCTCAGTGTCCCCTTGCAGCTCTGGGATTCTGCTACTCAGCGAGTGACTGTTTCAGTATTATGTTTTTTCCTCCCTCTCATCCACATTTCTTTCTCTGTCCTTCAGGAAGAAGTTCTTTGGAGCGAGAAAGATGCTCCCATTTTTTTTTCTGTAGGTGAGAAGCTCTGAAATCCCATCGTCTCTGCCTTGTAAGTACCACTCTGAACTTGCCCAAACTTGGATTCAGACCCCCTTCCTCGGTCATGTCCGCAGAAAGAAACCAGTGCTGGGCTGGGAAGGCGAGCAGTTGAGCAGAGCCAAGGTGGAAATGGCGGCCGAGCGACAGGAGGCGTCCTCTGTGGGCCTCCACCCTTACGAAACCAGGGTAGAAAAAGGAGTCAAAATGGAGGAGCTTGAAAGAAATGGCCTTGCGCTGGCCGGGCCGGCCCGATTCAGGAAGAGCCCTTACGTCATCCAGGCTTTCACCATCGGGGAGCATTTTAGCCGGATGGCAGCCAAGCCAACGGAGCGGGATCTGGAAGAGGGGATGCTGTCGCCATGTTGGGAAGCCCAGTGGCGAGACATCCTGAAGAACAGACAGTCCCCGTGTTCGGGGTGGAGCAACCCCCAGATCCCGGGGTTTCTGGCTCCCGCTGAAACCGGTGAACAGCCCCTCCAGGAAGAGGCAGGTGGCCTTTTGCCGCGAGAGACCAGCCTGGATGCGTACCCCGCAGAGCAGGGGGATGATGGAGAGGTGAAGGGAGAGGGCCAGGCCGAGGAGACCCCCAGCGCCGAGCTGCATCGGCAGCACTTCCGGTGGTTTTGCTACCAAGAGGCGGAGGGGCCTTGGGACGTCTGCGCCCGGCTGCGGGAGCTGTGCCTCAACTGGCTGCAGCCGGAGCTGAATTCGAAGGAGCGGATGGTGGAGCTGGTGGTCCTGGAGCAGTTCTTAGCCATCTTGCCCGAGGACATCCAGGGCTGGGTTGGAGAAAGCGGGCCAGAGTCCTGTGCGCAGGCGGTGGCCTTGGTGGAAGACTTCCTGCTGAGGCAGCAAGAGACTGAGAGGTGGAAACAGGAAGTAAGGGAGGGGGGTTTTCTGGGGCGGGGTGGGGGAGCTGGGGATGAGTTCCATCCGTCCTTCATCTCATAAGAGCCAGGGTGGCCCAGGGGTTATTGCAGGCTGACTCTGCTCACCGCCAGGAGTTCGATCCTGACCGGCTCCAGGTTGACTCAGACTTCCATCCTTCCGAGGTTGGTCAAATGGGGACCCAGATTGTTGGGGAGCAATATGCTGACTGTCATGTGTCTGAGTAACGAAACACTTAAAAGGACTTTCAGGCATTTTTTTCTCCTAAAAGCATTTATTAAGATTACAATACGTCAGCACGGCATGGTGGAATGCTTAGAACTGCTTCTCTTCCGTTAGGCATAGCATTCCAAACATTTTCCACTCCCTTATTGTAGGGTCATGGTTCACATCTTCCAATCAACTTGGAAGATGTGATTTACTTCCGGTTTCTTTCTCCCGGCTATCCTTATGCTCCTCCCTCTTTCCTAGTTGCTGGTTTAACTATATATATACCAGACAGTTCTGCACATTGTCAAAGCAAGAATATACAGTATTTGCAGTGTTGACACTGACTCTGTAAACCGCTTAGAGAGGGATGTAAAGCAGGGGTCCCCAATCCCCGGTCCGTGGACCGGTAACCGGGCCGCAGCATGCCAGAAACCGGGCCGTGCAAACGAGTGAAGCCCCGTCCACGGGATGCAGGCAGCATGCGAAACCACGCCCCCCCCTCCGGTCCGTGGAAAAACCTCCACGGAACCGGTCCCTGGTGCCCCAAAGGTTTGGGGGCCACTACTGTAAAGCACTATGAAGCGGTATATAAGTGTAAATGCTAGTGCTATTGCTGTGGCTATCTCATTGTGTCTCAGCAGGGACCGACCGGTGAACCTTAGCAACTTTAAGATGTGTGATTGGGCTTTGCTAGGGGTTTTATGTGGGGTATTTTAGAGCAGGCTTTTTATTCAATATTTATTGTGATTTTTATTATTGCCTGTTCACCGCCCTGAGTCCCGTAAGGGAGATAGGGCGGTATATAAATTTAAATAATAATAATAACAACAACAACAACTTCAACTCCCAGAATTCCTCAGCCCCTTTGCTTTAAGATCTGCAGGCTTCAGGTCCCAGAGCTCCACAGCCAGCTTGCATTAAGATGTGTGAGCTTCAGTTCTCAAAATTACATGCCGGCTGGGGGAATTCTGGGAGTTGAAGTTCATAAAATTCTAAAGCAGCCGAGGTTGAGAAATTCTTTATTATTGGCTGAAATTAGCTTGTGTTGTTTTTTTTTTTAAAAAAACACCTTTCGAGGCTACTGCCTCCTCAATTGAGGGGGGATAAATTCTTTGCCTTGATCATTGATCCTCTGCCTCCTGAAATGCTGATATAACTTTATTATAAAGATTTTAGTAAAGAAAGATGAACTTTGACAGGATGCATTTGGAATCATTGATAGACATATTTGGAATAAAGAAAAGAAGGCAGAATAGCAAGGGAGAAAAGGAGAAAGCCAAAAGTGTAGGGCAGGCTCTTTTATGACTCGTGGACTTCAACTCCCAGAATTCCTGAGCCTGCTATGCTATGCTATGCTATGCTATGCTATGCTATGCTATGCTATGCTATGCTATGCTATGCTATGCTATGCTATGCTATGCTATGCTGGCTCAGGAATTCTGGGAGTTGAAGTCCACGAGTCATAAAAGAGCCAGGGTTGCCTACCCCTGGTGTAGGGAAAAGAGGAAAGAAAATATAAAGAAATGTCGTCCAATTTTCCTTGCAACAATTATAACTTTACCTCTTGTTCTGTGGTTAGAGCAGGACCTTCGTTTTTCTATAATCTGTTTTTTTTTCCTAATCAAAAGCATAGAGACAAGTTCATTTTTTTTTCTGTTTCACACAAAAAGTATACAAAACTTTCCAGTCGGCAATAAACTTGGTGCCTGGAATTTTGGATTTCTCCCTTGATGGATATCGGTGAGCCAACAGCCTGAAATGTGATCAAGTCGATCTCTTCACCAGAGACGTTTTGGCTCTCTCTGACTTTCCCACTTCGTACTAAGCCCAGGAATTAGTTTTACAGTCTTTCTCCAGACCTTGCTGCCTATTTAACTTTTCCCAAGGCTGTGCCTTGTCCCGAACGCTCATTTTTGTGAGTGTAAACAAACTTGGCAACTTTTAAGAATTGTGGGCCTCAGCTCCCAGATTTGCCAAGGTTGAGAAACGCTGGTGTCGCCTACCTCAGTAAAGTTGAGTTGTGAAATGTGTGTTCCCGACTAAATGGTTGCCACCCTACCATCTTCATCCATGTGTTGTGGTGACATCACACATATATCCCAAAGGGCCAGAACTGGGATGTGGTGCTCCCTTCATCGTTCTGATTCAAGTAGCTCAGGGGTAGGCAACCTTGGCTCTTTTATGGCTCGTGGACTTCAACTCCCAGAATTCCTGAGCCAACAGGCCTCAGCTTGGAAACTCTCGCTTTCCCCTCAGCATGGCTGGCTCAGGAATTCTGGGAGTTGAAGTCCACGAGTCATAAAAGAGCCAAGGTGGCCTACCCCTGGACTAGCCAGACTTGCAGTCACACCCACATTCTTGCTTTTTATCTTTTAGGTGCTGGGAGAGTTTGAAGAAGTAGCGATGAGTTTTTCGAGAGAAGATGACGCTGGCGACAAACAACCTTGCCGGGAAATCAAGCAGGAGCAGGCCAATTGGTTGGGTACGGGACGCTTTGCTGTGTATTTAATTGATTTAGTTATTACTTTTAATATGCTGCCCATCTCACTGCCAAGAGCGACTCTGGTAGGCCTCAGCTTACAACTGTCACTGAGCCTTGGATTGTGGTCATAGGTACCACGCCACTCATTAAACAGATCGTTGAGCATTAAGCAGATATGTGACTACATCTGACTTTATGACCTTTTCTGTGGCATTCACTAAGGGGAATGCTACACTTAACAATTGTCGATAAGAAAGACAAAAAAGTCTGGATAGTGGACGTGGCAGGCCTGGAGACAGCAGAATAGATGAGAAAGAACTGGAGAAGATAACAAAATACAAAGACCTACAAATAGAAATAGAAAGACTGTGGCAAAAGCAAGCAAGGGTAGTACCAATAGTAATAGGCGCCTTGGGTGCAATCCCAAAACAACTGGAGCACCACTTGAACACCATTGGCATTGACAAATTCGCTATTAGTCAATTGCAAAAGACGGCCTTACTAGGAACTGCTTCCATCCTGCGACGATATCTGTAATACCATCAAACATCCATATCTGCCTATCCCAGATCCTGGGTAAGGACTCGATAGGTAGACAAAATGCCAAATCCAGTCTGAACATCTGGCTGACTGTGCGATGATCCATAATAATAATAAAGTTGGAAGGGACCTTGGAAGTTATCTAGTCCAACCCCCTGCTCAGGCAGGAAACCCTATACCATTTCGGACAAATGGCTGTCCAGTCTCTTCTTAAAAACTTCCAGTGATGGAGTATTCACAACTTCTGGAGGCAGGTTGTTCCACTGGTTAATTGTTCTAACTGTCTAAATCAGTGGTTCTCAACCTTTTTAATGCCGCGACCCCCAACCGGTCGTAAGTCGAGGACTAAACCGGTCGTAAGTCGAGGACTAAACCGGTCGTACGTTGAGGACTAAACCGGTCGTAAGTCGAGGACTAAACCGGTCGTAAGTCGAGGACTACCCAACTGGTCGTAAGTCGAGGACTTTTTCTGCCCGGGAGCGCCGCGCATGCGTGGTTCCGCCCCCTGCACCGGCCGAGGCGTAGCTGGCAAGCGGCAGAGACGGAGCAGGCCGACCACCAGCTGGCCAAGCTCAAGGGAGGTAAGGCACCTGCCGGAAAAGGGGAAAAAAAATGGCGGACAGCCTTGCTTGCCGACCCCCGTGAAATGGTTGATCGACCCCAAATGGGGTCGCAACCCATAGGTTGAGAACCGCTGGTCTAAATATCTTTCAAACCATCAAACAGCATCAAACCATCAAACAGCAACGTCTGCCTATCCCTGGTCTTTGGGAAGGATTTGATAGAGTAATAAAAATGCTAAATCCAATCTAAATATCTGGCTGGCCTGGCAAGGAACCCATAATAGAGCTTGCTAAAGAAGGTTTTGTGAGAATTCCTACTTGGAAAGAATCTCTTCCAGTTTTTTTGCAGTGGGCAATGCAATTCTCCTCAGTTTCCTGAAGAGAAGCTGACTCCCAGCACAATGTCAGAAATGAAAGCTGAATCCACACATCAGACAAAACCATGGGGTGTTTTTTTCCCCTCAAAAATGTGGTTTATTTTTCAAATGAATAAATGTTAGTCTAGCACCAGGCAAAGTAATCATTGCTGGTTAGTCTATTATTTCCTGGTTTGTTTTCTCTCTCTCTTTTATTCTTCTCTTCTGAAGATGTTTGCGGTATGGTAGAAAAACAAACCAGGAATAAGCCAGGAAGCCATAAACATATATATCTCTGTGTCATGTATGTGTGTGTATGTGGGTATATGTATAATGGTAATCTTTTGAGAGCTGTATGAAACAAAATTTCATTTTAATGTATGCTGATTAGCGTCCATTTAAAGTGAAAATATTAATAATAATAAAGTTGGAAGGGACCTTGGAGGTCATTTAGTCCAACCCCCTACTCAGGCAGGAAACCCTATACCATTTTGGATAAATGGCTGTCCAGTCTCTTCTTAAAAACTTTCAGTGTTGGAGCATTCACCGCTTCTGGAGGCAGGTTATTCTGTTCTGTTCCGTTCTGTGCCGTTCCATTCCATTATTATCCCTGTTTCTCACATTATGCAAAGTCTCAGGGAACAGGAAGGCCATAATTTTCAAATTAAAGTTTGCTGCCCTGAAACAAATGGTGGTTAAATTATCTTAAACCGATTGTAGTCACGCATTAGAATGGTAAAAAACAAACAAACAAAAAAAAAAAAAACTAGTGTAGAACAGTGGTTCTCAACCTGTGGGTTGGGACCCCATTTGGGGTCGATCGACCATTTCACGGGGGTCACCAAGCAAGGCTGTCCGCCATTTTTTTTGTCCGCCATTTTTTTTCCTCTTTTCCGGCGGGTGCCTTACCTCCCTTGGGCTGGGCCAGCTGGTGGTCGGCCTGCTCCGTCTCTGCCACTTGCCAGTTACGCCTTGGCCGGCGCAGGGGGCGGAGCCACGCATGCGCAGCGCTCCCGGGTAGGGAAAGTCCTCGACTTACGACCGGTTGGGTAGTCCTCGACTTACGACCGGTTTAGTCCTCGACTTACAACCAGTTTAGTCCTCGACGTACGACCGGTTTAGTCCTCGACTTACAACCGGTTGGGGTCGCGGCATTAAAAAGGTTGAGAACCACTGGTGTAGAACATGGATCTGTGTTGTTTCAACCATTGCACCTGTATGAGTTCTAGCTTTCCTAATGCTCTCTTTCGATCTTGACAGATAAGTGGGAGAGTGAGGATGAAGAGGCTGTGTTTGAAGTGTTACTGGAAAAAGCTGAAACTCAAGTCCTGGAAGAGAACTTTGGAGAACAAGCGGCACCACGGTGGGAGCAGCGATTCCCCACAGACAAGAGAAGAAACAACGCCATTCTCGATGACAGCGGGATCTCCGGCGAGCGGGTCTTGGAGGACAAAGCGCACGCAGGAAAGCGGAGACACGTGTGCGCTGTTTGCGGGAAGGGCTTCACTCAAAAATCGAACCTCAACAGGCATCAGAGAACCCACGTGGGAGGGAAGACATTCCAGTGCTCAAAATGCGGGAAAAGCTTCAAGTGGGAGACCAGCTTTATGCGACACCAGCGCTTCCACACCGGCGAGAAGCCTTATCCCTGCGTTGACTGTGGGAAATGCTTCAGTCGGAGCGCCAATCTCATCATTCATCAGAGGATTCACACCGGCGAGAAACCCCACCAGTGCGCAGACTGCGGGCAGAGTTTTAGCCAGGTCTCCAATCTTGTTCGACACCACCGAGTCCACACCGGGGAGAAGCCTTACAAATGCCTGGAATGCGAGAAGAGCTTCACTCAGAAATCGAACCTCGTCAAGCATCAGAGCGTCCATTTGGGCGACAAGCCGCCGCGGCGCTCCGTTAACGGGAAGAGACTGGCTCAGAGGTCGAATCGTCACAGACCGGATAAGGATTCCCTCGGAGAAAACCCCTGTCAGTGCTTCAAGTGCGGGAAAATCTTCTCCCGGAGAGGCAACCTCCTTAGGCATCAGAGCATCCACACAAAAGACAAGCCACACAAGTGTCTCGAGTGCGGGAAGCGGTTCAACCAGAGGACCAACCTGAACGCACACCAGAGGATCCACACTGGGGAGAAACCTTACCGGTGTCCGGACTGTGGGAAAAGCTTCCGCTGGAGAGCTCACCTGATCATCCACAAGCGGTTGCACACCGGCGAGAAGCCGCACAAGTGTGCCGACTGCGGGCAGGGCTTCAGCCAGCGGTCCAACCTGGTGAGGCATCTCCGAACCCACACGGGGGAGAAGCCGTACAAGTGCTCTGAGTGTGAGAAGAGCTTCGGCCAGAAATCCAACTTGATCAAGCATCAGAAGATTCACACGGGGGATAACGCGCCCCATCAGCCGAGCGGCCTTGTCAGACAGGACCAAGCGGGAGAGGAACCCTATCCATGTTTCCGGTGTGGGAAAGTATTCAGCCGCAGGGGGAACCTTCGGAGACACCAGAGCATCCACACCCGGGAAAAACCTCACAAATGCTCCGACTGTGGGAAGAGATTCAACCAGAGGGCAAACCTCATCAGCCATCAGAGGATTCACACCGGGGAAAAACCCTTCACCTGTCTTGACTGTGGGAAGAGTTTTCGGCAGAGCCCGCACCTCATTAAACATCAGAAAGTCCACGCGGAGGAGAGGGCTTCATACCACAGCGCGGATCACGGGGCGGGCCTCAGCCTTGAGCCGGGCCACAGGATCCACGAGAGGATCTCCCCGAGAGGCAATCCCTATCAGTGCATGAAGTGTGGGAAGATGTTTAACTGGCAGTCGAATTTCATCCGGCATCAAAAAATCCACGCCGGCGAAGAACCTCGCCAGTGCTTGGATTGCGGGAAGACGTTCAATCGGAGGAAGAACTTTGTGGCTCACCAGAGGATCCACACAAAAGAGAAGCCCTATCAGTGCAGCGAGTGCGGCCAGACCTTCACCTGGGAAGCGCACCTGGTGATCCATCAAAGAATCCACACGGGAGAGAAGCCTCACCTCTGCGCCGAGTGCGGGCAGAGTTTCAGCCAGAGATCCAACCTCATCCGCCATCAGAGGATCCACACGGGAGAGAAACCCTACGCCTGCTCGGAGTGCGGCCAGAGTTTTACGCAAAGGACACACCTTGTGGTGCACCAGAGAATCCACACCGGGGAGAAACCGCATAAGTGCGTGGAGTGCGGGCAAGGCTTCAGCCAAAGGGCGCACCTGATTGTCCATCGGAGAATCCACACGGGAGAGAAGCCGTATCGATGCGCGGACTGCGGACAAGGCTTCTGCCAAAGATCTAATCTTACCAGACATCAGAGGTCCCACGACTGTGAGAAACAAAAATAGGAAAGGGGAAGGAATACCGCTGGAGGATTGTGCTGAGCCTCAGTCCACTCAAGCATGGGGGGGGGAGGGAGAATGGTAATTTTAGTTGGTAAAGGACATTTGGGGGACAGACCTGGATCTTTACGGAAGGATCCGCCAAGGACACAGCCTGAACTATAAAATATACAGATGTGTGAAACAGCTTGAGGACACCGATTGTATTAAACAGGGACCCCCCTGTCTTCAAAATGGCTACTGATGTCTTACATTTACAGCAGTGTTTCTCACGATTATTGTTGTAAGGCCGTGTTTTTCAACCTTAGCAACTTTTAAGATACGTGGGCTTCACTTCCCAGGATTCCCTATCTCACGGGTAAGCAACCTTGGCTCTTTTATGACTCGTGGACTTCAACTCCCAGAATTCCTGAGCCAGCATGGCTCAGCTCGGAAACCTCTCCCTTTCCCCTCAGCACGGCTGGCTCAGGAATTCTGGGAGTTGAAGTCCACGAGTCGTAAAAGAGCCAAGGTGGCCTACCCCTGCCCCTAGCCAGCATAGCTGGCTGGGGAATTCTGGGAGTTGAAGTCCACGTGTCTTAAAAAAAAAAGTCGCCAAGTTTGAGATAAAACGCTGTTTTACAGAATGACGTGGCCAGTAAAAAATGCACTGATTTTACCAAATATCCTCGCTCTTCCCTGCTGCCTTTGCTTCGCTTTGTACTTCGACAGTTGCTGCTGTCCATCGTTGTCCATCTTTCGAACCCACATGGAAGGTGGGAAAGACATATAATGTGAAGGGAATTGTACGTGGGCACCATCCTGTTCTGGAAAAAGGACCAGCCAGGCGCCAAATTGAGGGCAGAAACCGATGAAAGATTAGGTTTGTTAATGAAGTAGGTAAGGTTTGGGGAGTGCAGAGAAAAGCAGCCCCCCCCAATTTTCTCCTATGTTCTGGGTCACATGACTAGAAGAGAGGAGGAGCTTAGAATGGAGGATTCTGGGCCTCCATTCTAAGTCCCTCCTCCCTGCTAGTCACGTGACCCAGAGCACAGCATACAAAACAGTGTTTCTCAGCTTTGGCAACGTTTTTTTTAAGATATCTGGACTTCAACTCCCAGAATTCCCCAGCCGAACATTTTAAAGCTGACAAGGCTGAGAAACACCTGCCTGTGGGATGCTCACACCTTGAACAACTTAACAGTTGGCCCAAAGAACATCCTTGCTCTGTGCAATTGGGTATGTCTAGTCTAATGAAGAGAAGGACGAGGGGGGACATGATAGCAGTGTTCCAATATCTCAGGGGCTGCGACAAAGAAGAGGGAATCAAGTTGTTCTCCAAAGCGCCTGAAGGCAGGACAAGAAGCAACGGATGGAAACTAACCAAAGAGAGAAGCAACCTAGAACTAAGGAGAAACTTCCTGACAGTTAGAACAATTAACCAGTGGAACAACCTGCCTCCAGAAGCTGTGAATGCTCCAACATTAAGAAGAGACTGGACAGCCATTTGTCTGAAATGGTATAGGGCAGGGGTGTCAAACTGCCGGCCCACAGGCCGGACGCGTCATGAAACCGCGCCCACCCCATTGCCGGCAATGGGGAAAAAGTTCCGATACGTCGCGCGACGTCACGTGACATTGCGAGTTTGACATGTCTGGTATAGGGTTTCCTGCCTGAGCAGGGGGTTGGACTAGATGACCTACAAGGTCCCTTCCAACTTTATTATTATTATTATTATTATTATTATTATTATTATTATTATTATTATTATTATTATTATTATTATTATTATTATTATTAATTATTATCATCGTGACTGTGTTTTTGATCACAGGCTTAGAAGAAACCCAGGGATGTGTGCAGCTGATGATCCAAAACCAATCCAGGAACATCCCTTTCTGAGGACTCTTTATAGCAGGGGTAGTCAACCTTGGCTCTTTTATGACTCGTGGACTTCAACTCCCAGAATTCCTGAGCCAGCACGGCTCAGCTTGGAAACCTCTCCCCTCAGCATGGCTGGCTCAGGAATTCTGGGAGTTGAAGTCCACGAGTCATAAAAGAGCCAAGGTTGACTACCCCTGCTTTATAGTCTCAACTCCCTTTCCTCCCAGCCTTTTCTCACCATTCGAATTGCTCTCGTCCTTTGCTCCAGGATGAGATTTCTCAATCTTTTCGAATCCGGTACAGCAGGGGTTCCCAATCCCCGGGCTGTGGCCCTGTATCTTTTCGGAACCATCCCCTCCGCCACTCCCCGTGCGCTGGACCGCCCAGCTGGAAAGGTTGGGAAATGCTGGGCTACAGTATTCAATATATCAGTAGTTCTCTGGCTCACCAGAGAACGATAGACCTCGACGTACGACTGCGGTTGAGCCCACAATTTCTGTCGCTAAGCGAGACCTTTGTTCAGTGAGTCCTGCCCTATTTTACAACCTTTCTTGCCACAGTTGTTAAGTGAATCACTGCAGTTGTTAAGTAGGTAACACGGTTGTTAAGTGAATCTGGCTTCCCCATTGATTTCGCCTGTCAGAAGGTGACCACATGACCTGGCGCACGGCAACCGTCCTAAATATGAGTCAGTTGCCAAGTGTCTGGATTTTGATCATGTGACCGTGGGTGGGGATGCTGCAACGGATTTAAGGGTGAAAAATGTCCATAAGTCACTTTTTTTCCCCAGTGTCGTAATTTTGGTCACTAAACAAACTGCTGTAAGTCGAGGACCACCTGGTATGCAGTATTTTTAAATGCTCGCTTACTTCGGCCATGTCAGGGAATTCACTGAAGAAAACAATTATGTGTGGAAGAGTTAAGCAGTAAAAGGAAATCAGGCTGTCAAAGAACGGGAGACAGGATGGTATTAAAGCTGACACCAGCCAGCGCATAGAAAAACTTAAAGAAATAGAACAAAACAGAACAGGACAGAATTCTTTCTTGGCTAAGTGTGATTGGACACACAAGCAATTTGTCTCTGGTGCATAAGCTGTCAGTGTACATACGAACAGCAAATGATAAATCATGATCATAATAATAAAAAACATTCATCATGACTCGTAAGATACAACATTCAGTCATGGTCATAGGATATTAAATGAGCAATTGCCATAAATCATACTATGATACTAAAAAAAACAATATAAATGGTAATATAATAATAAAGTTGGAAGGGACCTTGGAGGTAATCTAGTCCAACCCCCTGCTCAGGCAGGAAACCCTATACCATTTCAGGCAAATGGCTGTCCAGTCTCCTTTTAGAAACTTCCAGTGTTGGGGCATTCACAGTTTCTGGAGACAAGTCGTTCCACTGATTAATTGTTCTGTCAGAAAATTTCTCCTTAGTTCTAATTTCTCTCCTTAATAAGTTTCCATCGTTGCTTCTTGTCCTGCCTTTAGGTGTTTTGGAGAATAGCTTGACTCCCTCTTTTTTGTGGCAACCCCTGAGATACTGGAACACTGCTATCATGTCACCCCTCGTCCTTCTCTTCATTAAACTAGACATACCCAATTCCAGCAGCCTTTCCTTGTATGTTTTAGCCTCCAGTCCCCTGATCATCTTTGCTGCTCTTCTCTGCACTCTTTCCAGAGTCTCGACATCTTTTTTACATCGTGGTGACCAAAACTGGATGCAGTATTCCATACAAGCAACAAAGTTATAGTCCTAAGAAAATAAGGAAAAGGTAATAGGAAGGATGAGAAGGATAAAAGTAATACAGCCCTACTAGGTAGTTTGACAGAGTTGTGGGAATTAGTTGTTTAGCAGAGTGATGGCATGGGGGGGGGGGAAATTGCTCTTCTGTCCAGTTGTTTTAGTGTGCAATAGTGCAACATCGAAAAATATGGCGAGACCTGGCCAACAGTCGTCACGACTGAATGGATAACATCACTACCATCATGATGGTTTGAGGGGAAATTATGAACCTTTCTGGAAAGATCTCCATTATTGAATGTACAGATTACCCAGAATATACACAAGGTAGAAACATAAAATAAAAGAGGTGGAGGACGTGTCGGATAGGATCTTGAGTTAATTTGTAAAAATAATCAGGCGGGACATAAATAAATTAATATCGGTCAAAAAATAGAATAAGAAAATCTCATGGCACACTAGAAACAAGCCTGGTTAAGAATCGCTACTCTAGGAGCATTAAATTCCTAAAAAAAAATTAAAAAATTCAAGATCTCCTTTTCTTCTCCTCTTGGCTTCCTCCAGCTAAGTGGCGCTCTCTTTTACCAGTTGCCACTTTTCCACAATTTCGATTTTCCAAAATACCATTGCCACTTTCTCTTTCTTTCCTAAAACTTTCTCCTTCAGGCCTCGGGTAGTAAGCAGGAATATCATTTTGGGACTCCCCCGTCACATCCGGCCTAGATACAAGAAGAAACCCTGAGCTAAATTTCCAGGGCGGATGGACTATCCCTGTTTCTCAAACTAGGCCACGTCCAAGATGGGTGGACTTCAACTCCCAGAATTCCCCAGCCAGCCATGGCTGGCTGGGGAATTCTGGGAGTTGAAGTCCACCCATCTTGGACGTGGCCAAGATTGAGAAACCTCAACTGAGGAACAGCTAATGGAGGAGGGTTTTTCCACAGGCTGTAGACAAAGAGTCAAGTATGCTAAGTCGAGATGGCTTTAAAGGGTGAAGGAGTCCAAAAGTCAAGAAGGGGGTTACCACCATGCAACTTTTTTAAAAGAAGGAGGCAGGCCTTCTGTCACACGGTGACGGCTCCATCTTAACTTTACTGATGCCTGTTCAGGCCCCCCTATAATGGAGGAAACTGAGGAGAAATCTTCTCTGTGCATATTAAGATGTCTCTAAATACAGTTACCTGAAGATGGAAAACCACGTGGGGGCACAAAAAGTAATTGGGGATTGGTTGGGGGGGAGGGCAGGCAGAAAAAATTGGGTGTGTGTGTGTGTGTGTTATTAAAATAAACTGGCAAATTCAGGAGTTTTCATCCCAGCGTAGAGGTAGACTTAACGACAATTGACCCCCAAATTTCTGTTGCTAAGCAAGACATTTGTTAAGTGAGT